AAATGGTCGACCACTCCAATTCTTGCGCTATATTTTTCTCAGCCTTATGTCTCATTTAAGCTGTCCGCCTCCTGATTGCTACACAATTGCTGCAAACATTTTTCATGCATTACATTTATGTACTTAATTCATACGTATACTTTTGCTGTTGTTGTTGTTGCCAAAGTCTGGTTACACATTGCACGGTAGTCACGCTGTAAGCGCCATCGCCATAGCCATCGCCATCGCCAGCGCAACCGCCACCACTATGTATGTATTTACAAACATTCAATCAGCAAATAAATACCGTTTAACATTTACTGTAGTGGCTGAAGCCGTTGTGGGGCTGCTGGACGACTGTTGCATGCTTTGACTTAATTTTTGATTTGTTTTGTTTTTATTTCTATTATCTCACCGCCGTTTTTTCACCAAATCTTTTGCAATATTCTCACACATGCATGCACGTAATAACAGATACTTGTATGTATTATTATGCATTTACTTGCCACATATGTATGTATGTATGTATGTATGTATGTTTGCGGTATGTTGCATCAGGCTTTCAAGAAAATTGCTACCTTTTTACACTCGCCAGTCACTCGCTACTTATTATATGCACATAATAGAAATGGAGCACCACCAATTAAGCATTACAAGTGAGCACGAATTGAACATTGATCTACAATTCATACAGTTCGAGGTTTCGAGATAGATTATAGAATCGCATGCAAGGCGATGGACCTAAGTAAGTCGAGTTCTAAGTATTTTTTTTTTTACCAAATTGACATAAAAGACTGGTGTTTAAGTACGCAATTAGGGGATTCACAAGACGTGTTTTGGGCAGGGTTGCCAACTTTTGCATTCACGAAACCGGGATATCAAGTTCAATGCCGTATTTTTGAAATTTTTCTATTAAAAATAAGAAAATCTAAAATAAAATATCATAAATAAAAGCTTCCATAATACAAATTCGATGTAAATACTTTTTAATAATTCAAAACATAAATTAAAGTTGAAATAAAATCACACCAAATTATAAATTGTAATTTTCCATATGTACATATGTTTGTAACTTTGTACTTAAAATTTTCGGCGAATTTTTATAACAACATAGTTCATACTACAACAAAAAAAAAGTGAAACTGTATCTTAACTTCGTGTAAAACTCAGCGAAATTCAATAAAATTGCCTACAAATTGACATTGCTGTTTAACTAAGTGCAACACTTATTTCGCGACCTAATCTACACTTTTTAAACAACAAACAATAGTTCTAAACCAAAACTCTTTTTGCTGGAAAAAAAGGATTAAAATTAGGTCAAAGCAAAAACAAACGAAAAAATAAAACTAAAATGTGGTAAAAATAAAGTAGGTTGCCACACTAAATTATCATGATTAAGAGACAATAATAGATGGTTTATCGCACTCAACACAGCCGCAGCATCAAACAAAAACTATGTAACACGACGACTCGTGAGACGAGTGCAGAACCCTCAAAAGTAATCAGCTCAACATTACATTTTTAATACCACAGATAAATTTACTTTCTTTTATTTAAAGAAGTGTTAGAAGTAATTTGAAAAACACTTTCGGAATTCTTGAAAGTGAGACAAGAATGCAAACCGCAGCTAATGATGATTGATTCACTGCGGCTATATAAAGTTCAATTGTAGTTTTGTTTTTACAGCTTTTAGATGAGAGTTTTTATAAAACTCAAAAAAGTGAAAATATTAACGAAAAGAAGGTCAATATCGCATAGCTGAACAAAAGACTTAAGACACAAACTTCGCGCATTGGCGTACGTAAGACAGCCAAAATACATATAAATTTATGTTGCTGCTTGATGTAAAATACATAAATATTCGATTTTGCTTGCTTTTGCGTTTGCTTACTTTTAATCCTCAGTAGATTTCTTTTTTTTTCGCTGCTGCTTTTCTAAATTCTAATTTCAATTAATTACTGATATGATTTGCGTTAAATTAAGATATACATATAGAAGTCTGCGAAAACATTTGTGAATCTCAAGAAAACCACATATGAAGACTTCTTGTATGAAGACTTATGAAATGTGCAAAGGCCACAAAATGCGGTCGCTCACGGCTAAGCTATGCTAACCCACTCTCCTCGTCTTCACTTCACTTCTTCAGCATTTTATGTGACTTCTAACAACTCATACGTGCATATACATGTACATTTTTTTATGCTTATATGGGTGTGCACCGTCTAGCCGTTCGATTTTTAGCACATACATGTAGTAAGTGTATCCATATATATGTACATTAGGGTGGTCCAAAAACGGTAAAGTCGGAACTGTAATGCTCCCACCCCCTAGGATTATTCTATATCGAAAAAAGTATACCCCTATTTTTTATTTTGAAATCAAAAAATATTTAGAGGTCCAAGTTGTCCATGTATTTTATATGGGGAAAAAGACTTTTCCTGGAGATGGTATAGAATTCTTAAAAATCAATATTTTTCGATCGAAAAGCCCTGGTTCTCTTCAGGTGACTTTCAATAATAACACCCAATTGATTATTTAACCATTTTTCAATACTAACGATTTTTTATTAGACCGCTCATAGCATTTTTCGAGACTTTTGTCGATTTTTGGCGGAAATTATAGTTGCGATGAAAAAATTATCAAATAAACAATTGGGCATTTTTATTGGGAATCTCCTGCAGGTAAACAGAGTTTTCCGATAGAAAAATATTGATTTTAAAGAATAAAAATTCTGACTTTACTGCATTTTTTTGAACCACCCTAATGTACATACTTACGTATTTTGCCTTCTCCCAAGGCGAATGGAATTATAGTGTAGAAAGAAGAAAATTAATTATCGCACAGAAATGGGTTGCCTACTTACTGTTGACGGTCTGCCTGTCTGGCCGTCGGTCTGTTTGTCTGCCTTTGGCATTTTGCATCGCAAATAGGTTGGCGCATAGGTTAAAATAGAAAACAAATGTGAGCGCAAACTTTGTTTTCAAACAACTGCTGCATGTATGTATGTATGTATGTAAGTATGCTGTAAATACTTTACCACGTTTTAAAATTGCCTGGATGTTGCGCGGATGCTGCACGTGCGCTAATTTTTATTTTTATTTTATTTTTGCACATTTATGTATTCCAGCTAAATAAGTATAAACAATTGCGTTGTACCTAGCATTTTCAAATGTAAGCCATCCTTCAACTAAAGTTTGTATTATTGGATTTGATACTTGTCGCTGGTTACTTACTTATGATTTGTTGTTTCACTTTAATAAACTTTCGCTACGCCTTGTATGGCAAGGAATTAAGGAATTTATTCAATCTGTATCGAGATGCAAATTTTTAACTACTCTGGAAAATTACGCAAATTTATTTTTATTATTCCATAAGAGATTTTGGCCGATCTAAAAAAAAAAAGAACACGCCAGTTGTTTTTCTTCTGTGCCAACTGACGAAAATTGGAAATGGCATGCGAGGCCTAGTCCTTCTCCACTTGGTCTTTCCATCGCAGTGGATGCCTCACTCTGCCTCTGCTACCACCAGTGGGTCCCGAGTTGAATACTTTCAGAGCTGGAGCGTCGGTGTCCATTCGAACGATATGGCAAAGCCAGCGGAGCCGAATCAACTTCGCCTGCTGGAAAAAGGGGGTATAAGCGGAATTCTAGCAAAGAATATTGGGCACAGGATGCTCCGGGAATTACTACTCGGAAAAAGGAGAAGTGCCGTACTCGTTCCGCTTACCTACAAGAGCGGCGTCTGGCGAAACTTTTTCTTCACTTTTTCTAAGTATGTACATATGATTTTCTTAAAGAAATATCAAAAAATTTTTAAGTTGTTCTAGAGCTGCCGCAAAAAAGTTACATCCAAATTCATAATTTCATCTATATATTAATATGCTAACATAAATCTTGGCGATTCCACCAAACCGATTTCAAAACCAGGAACACCACTGGACAGGTTTCAAAATTGGTTGAAATTTATGGCCAAAATCGTTGTTTAAAAATGTTCGTATTTGTGTATAGTTGTTGTGGCAACCTGTTCAATTTGAGTTACTTTCGCATTTTGTTTACTTCGTACTTGAAATTAAACTTTGTTATAGAGATAAATCTGATGATGAAGAAATAAATGATAACGACTATAGCAAAAAAATGAAGGCAAAATTGAATATAAAGACGAAAATGAAAACAATTCGAAATACGCAAGAATTAGAATAACTGAAAGGCGAAGAGAATTTATTGAAATATATCGAGTCATCCGAATTTCAAGGTTATGTAGTAAGTTGATCGAGTTATCACTGCTTATTGAATTTTAGCGTGTTACCAGAGTGTAACGAGTTATCGAAATTTGTTGATAGCTGTCAAAAAATATGGAGGTATCAAAATTAACCGAGTTGTAGAAATATATATGGGTATTCGAAGTTTATCGAGTTATCGATTTGTATCGAGATATATAAATTTTTGAGTTATAGAAATTTGTCGAGATATCGAAATTTGTTGAGCTATCGGATTTTCCGGTGAGTAATTTTGTACCTTATAAGTTAACCGACGCGCTGAGTTTTTTATTTTCATTTCATTTACCTTCACCTGTGTGCAACCACATCTTGCAAGACATTTTTAACCAACTCCCCGATGCTCAATAGACTTAAAACTTCAAATTAGGACCCCGTGATAATGCAAATGAAAGATGAATTAATCCACTAGGTGGCGCAGGTGTAGCGATATTTAAAAAACCAGTATTCATGGTCCGATATGGTTCATATTTGGAATATATATTACTTGCATCAAAAGGAATAACTCCACAAAGTTGCCCGATAGGTGGCGCACGGGTCGAGATATTTAAAAAATCCGCATTTATGGTCCAATTTGTTTCACATTTAGAACCTACATATATGGTATTACTGAAATGGAAAGATATAACTCCACAAAAAATATCGCCGTTGGGCGGTGCGGGGCCGATTTTTGTTTCTTAGTTAACCACTTGTCTTTATTTATTTATTTTTTTTATTACTAGTTTTGACTTTCATTCTTCTGTTTCAGACAACAATTTACGAGCTGGATCTTTCCCGATATTTGGCAAATTCAACGACAAATGCGCTCAATGAATAAATGTGCTTATAAATCGGCAGAAATTTAATACTTAATTTGGAAAAAATTACTTTTTATATATCAGGAAAAATTAGGTGAGTCGTTAAATTTTTTCCATTATAAAAAAAAATCCCACAAAATGCACAGCCTAGGCCTCCTAAGGGTACGTTCACACAGAAAGCGGAGCCGAGCCGAGCGAATTCGTTCCCAGCTGAGTGTACCTTTCAAATTGCTGTAGCTATATTAAAGTGAAAGCAGAAGGCTCTTTTCAGAGGCGCTTTGGAACTCAAATTAAAGCAGTTTTTGATTTGGAATTTTCTATATAACTTTTAGTTTCACGACGCTGCTGTAAAAAAGATATCAAAATGTTAAAATAAAAACGAATTTTAAAATTAATATTTTGAATAAAATTGAACAAATATTTCTGCCGATCTTCATTAACGGTCAGTTTTGTGGTATCTTTGCAATCAAGTCCATGAGAAAATCTCCGCTTTGCTTCGTTCAGTGCGAACGCCACCAGCTTCGCTTTGTTCCGCCTTGCTTTGCTCGGCTTTCTGTCTGAACGTACCTTAAGATGGGCGTGTTCTGAAAATATCAAACAGTGTAACATATTCTTTATTTTTTACTTGTGGAAAGGACTGAATGTTTTTAAATTAAATATTTCATGCTTACTGCCAATTTTACCAGCAAATAAAAAGTAAAATTTTGCACTTAAATTGCTTTCGTCAAACTGGCTATTAAATAAGAACAAAGACTTGCTTCTTTTTAAAAAATTATTTTTAAAATTTAAAAGTTGGTTGAGCTTTATGCTTTTGTCATCATTCAATGTCACATAAATTAATTTAAATTTTAAGCAATCAATTTGCTTTGCTTAAAATTTGCATTTATACTCAAGTAAACGTGGCGCGAATCAATAATGCATAAATAATTTAGGGTACTCACAGTTCTATATTATCTACTGTGCTAATTTTGCCACCTGGTAACTTTAAAACATTTTACCATGTGGTAACTTTGTTTGTTGTTGGTTCCCATACTAATTAGAGATAACACTTTTGGGCAAAATTACTAGACTTTGTCTCATGTTTATGTTCTGTGTTAAACTGGCATCTATCGCTGCTTGTACATACATACATGAATTTCGCTTTGGGCGCAGCGCTGCTTGTACATAAGTTTCTCTTTGCGCCTGCCTGGAGCTGGCAAAGGTTATTTTTTTTTTATTTTTGCGCTGTGCTAGCTGAGTATAAAAAAAGAGAAGAGAGAATAGAGAGAAATATGTATGTGGTTTGTTGATGCTCTCTAAACACAAACGCGTGAAAGGCAAACGGTCTAGCAATGCGTGTTATTGTTGATCAACTTAATACTTTATTTAAACATAAGGGTTGCTCACAGTTCGAGTGTGTTATCTTGTTAAAGTTGCCACCTTTTAACTTTAGAAGTAAACTGTGAGTACCCTAATTATTTCAAGTACGTCACCTAAGTCGTTTGTTGCGCACGCGTACATAGAGTCAATCACATACATACATATGTGTGTATGTATGTATTACATTCAAAGCTACGCAAATTTTGGACATCATAACTGTGCGTCAACTTTTTGTTTAGCGCATTATCGCCATATGAGTGTGTACTTGTTTGTGTTTGTTGTTGCTCGCACTTAATTAGCGCATAATTGCTGTGTGTCGCATGCACATTTTCCACTTAACTGCGCGCGCATATTTACCGTACAAATGTGTCATAAATAGGCAAATAGGCGATATAGCAGTACAAGGCGGGTCAAAAAGCGAAACGGCTTATGAACGAAGCGGCAAATGGGCGTGCTTGTATGTATGCATACGTTCAGGGCAAAATATGCATGTAAATATGTATGTATGTATGGCAGGTGTATATGTATTTATATTGGTATGGATTATAAGCAACCATTAGATATTTTTTAGCTACAGCTGTTATATTATTTTTAAAATGAAAACTAATCTAATATATATGAACATACATAAATATCTCTCGTAAAATTGCAACATTGTGTTAAAAAATTATTTAATTTTATTGCAATTTTTTATTGTTGCTTTTGCTTAAAATTATTTAATTTTTAAACATACATGTATAGTCATTCGAGCGTGCAGTTTATTTTGTGTTACTTTTAGTACTTCAGTAATATCCATTAGGGTGTATCGGGAAAAAAAAAAAACTCAATTTGAACGCTGATAAACGCGAAGAGTAGTTTGTTAGTTAGTAAATAAATTCCATGTAACAAAGCACACTGTAACCTAACAGACGTATGTATCCCTATAATATAAGTCATAGCCTGCTAGAATAATAAACAATCACCTTTTCTAATAAATTCTAAAAGCAAGTGTGTTTGTAGACAAATTGCTAATGACAAAAGGTTCTACTGCGACTGAAAAGCCTTTGAGACTTAAGGCTGGTTTTAGCTATGCCACAACTTTTGTTTGATAGAGATAGAAAGAATATCGCCCTTTGGACACCCATTATAGGCCTAATATTTACGAAAGTGTTGCCCAAGGGCGTTGGTGTCAATGAATTTTATAGTAAATAGTGAGATAGATAGACTATATTATCAAAATCCCCTCGATCTTTCTAACCACTTACCGCAGAGCGGAATACATTGATTTCCCTTAGACAAAAGCAAATTGAGTATAGTATAAATCAGTTGTAAGTATCAGTCAGTATATGCAGGTCTAACAGTATTTCGACAGTTTGGAGAATAAACTAATTGTCTGATTTCAAAAACATATGACTGATAGTTGCTGCCAAGTATACCATACGTTTTTCCAAGTATTGCTAGCACCTACAGCTGTGAATGGTTCTAGGGGCTCAACCGCCCATCGTACCTTGTCTCAGTCAAAGATAAAAAAAGTTGTTTTTCGACCCCTGACCATATACCTAAATAGTAAAATAAGTCGTAAAATGCCAAATTTTTGATAAAAAATTACATTTGTCTTCAGATTAGCCCGACAATTTTTTTTTATGAATAAAAACTAAGCAATTGCTTTTTCCTAAAATTTCAGACCTATTAATCGATTTATTAAAAAAAAATTTAAGTAAAAAGTCTGAAATTTGAAAAAAGCCTGATTGCCTAGTTTTTATTCATACGGCCCATATCTATGTACATGTACTATATAAGTTTTCAATTCGGGGATTGTCTTATCATACTTTTCTTATGGGCGTACGACCCAATCTAATGCCCATATAAATGCAGTTGAATGTGGTGATCCTATTTTATATGTTCAGTACTCCAGTTGTTGCTCCACATATCACACAGTAGCACCTACAACTTCTCGCTAGCTTATTGCAAAGTGAGGTCGTGTGCTCCAATTCAATTCGTAGGCATTTGTTTATTTTTCCAATTCCTAGCTGCTTTTACTTATAATTGTTAAACCGCATATTTGCATTTTTGTTGGTATTTAAAATTTCTGGCATATATTCTCCTCCATATATCGTATGTATGTACATATGTATGTGCTGCTAAATAATTTATGCACTTGCACGCTTCACTACACATCTAAATATGTATACATTTGCACATACATATCTACATATTTATATTTGTGCTCACGTATTTTTATGTGTCACACGTTTGAGTGTCATGTCGGTCGCATTCATTGGTTCAATGATTCGGTCAGTTGGTCATTTCAATTGCACTTTATATATTTTTTCGTTTCAAAGCTAAATATTTGTAGATGTGTATGTATTGTAACTGTTGTTTTCGATTATTTTCATCGTTATCACAGTTGAGTGCCTACGCTAGGCGGCGCATTAACACTTGAAAAATGTGACGAAAACCCGAAGCACATACACAGTACATAACTCTATGTTATTTGTCCCTGCCGTAATATGTACATTGTAACATTTCAAACTAAGTGAATTTGAAAACTCTCAAAGTAAGTAATTGAAATGGTCCTAAAGAATGTGCTTATGCGATATGACTTGAAAGGAGTAGCGGCGCGAAACATTATAAAAAAAATGTGTCTACAAAATAACGAAAAGGTAAGAATAGAGTGAATCATGGCTCTATCGGAATTCTGCAGTTCTTTGTATTACTGACTTTGTTCTGAATTCATCACATCGTAAAAAAATAATGCAGATAAGTACCTACATTAGAATGCATTATTCCCCATAGATGCAAATAAAAATCGGTACTGTCCATTGGCATTATAAAATCGATTCTATTTTGAGACTTGCACCAAAATATTTCGGAAGAATATAAAAGACTTAGTTTAGCTGGACCGATTTGAAAATACTTTAAAACATATATGGCCTTATTCACGAAAAATTAAGTAGGCCTAAAAAGCTTTATAAATTGACGTTTTCATACATTTTTCAATTTATAAACCTTTCGTAAAGCTACTTTATTTTTTATGAACAAGGCTATTAGTTTTTTAAGATTTTTTTTTTAATTTTTTAAAGAATTTTTTGAAAAAAATTAGCTCAGATGACAAACCAGTTTACTATTAAAAAAATTGTACAAAAATATTTAAAAAATCTTTTAACGGAATTATAATGAAATTTTTGATGCTGTTTTTGAACCTTTTTAAAAATTAGTTTATGAAAAACTTATAACTAAGGCCGATTTATACTTATGAGGTATGTTTCATTGGAAAGAAAATGTCCACCCTTTTTATTTCTAAAACTCATTCAAAGTAGGAAAGAGAAACGTAACTTAAATGAGCACCATTCCAAGTTGAATTAAGATGTCTTGTTATTGAGAAAAAGGGACGTTAATGCATTTTTTGCAAAGAAATAAAAAGGGCGAGAAACTTTCCACCGACAGCAACAAAAATTTCACTATTAAATATGATTCCGTTGAAATTTTTTTAAATTTTTTATGCAGATTTTTTAAGTTTAAACTGTTTTGTTTGTTTAAGAAACTATTTTTATTCATAAAAAACTCCAGTTTTTAAAGTATTTTCAAATCGGTCCAGTTCGCTTAAATATTAACGTTTTTCCGAAACATTTTGGTGAAAGTCTTCAAATAGAATAGATTCGAAATCCCGGCGTGAAAACCGTAACTTTTTTTGGTGAGGCAGTCTAATGTTCCTTAATGCTTTTAAAATTTCATAGTTTAGCGAATAACGGAAAG